CTGCAATCTGTAGTTGAACTGGAAATCTGATTTTAAAACAAGTGTTTTGAAATGCTGTTATTAATTAATGCAAAGCATGATCGTTTTTAGCTTCTTAAAAGATTTCAAACCAGCACAGGGAAATCATGCATGTGCTTGTGGTGTTACCATAAAGTCTAATGGGCTTTACTTAGATATTCTTGCATTTCCTCATCTGCTTTAACTTCTCTGCCAGAATCACTTTTTGTTTGGCATAGTTTTTAGTAATTAGAACAGCTATTTCGAATATCATAACTGGGGCAATGAAACCTAATACAACTGGTTTAGGACATGGGGATTTTCCATCTCTCAGATTCTTTTGGAAACTCCCTCCCGGCCCAGAATTAGGTCTTAGAAACACTACAACACAGGGGGTACAAAAGTGGCTACAGTTCTAAGAGAGACTTCCCAGGCCCCCAAAATTAGAGATCGAAATAGAGATAGTGCCAAACATCCCTACCATACTACTACTTAGGAATTGTTCCAAATGGGGTTCCAAATTGTTCCAAATACAGTTCTCCAAATTCAACAATTTTATAAGTAATTCTTCATCATTGATGGATGTATCCATTTATCTGCAGAACTTCTGATCTTTTGATTGAGATTTTTCTGAATACACTTTAGGATAGTTCTAATTCAGTAGTTTTCAAAGTGTGGTTCCCAGACAGCAGCATCAGCAGGATCTGGGAATTTGTTAGGAATTCTTGGGCCCCATCCCAGAGCAACTGAATCAGAAACTCTAAGAGATAGGTCCCAGCAATCTGTGTTTTAACAAGCCCTCCAGGTGATTCTGATACACACCAAAGGTTGAAAACAGCTGTTTAAATTCAACATGTTTATTTTGTAGATTAAGGAACTGAAGACCAGATGTCTGGCCTTTAAGTGACTTGACCTAGGAATACAGAAAATAAGTGTGAATGCATTTATCAATCCGTTTTGAGGGCAAACTGCTGATACATAAAATTATTTTGTTTAATTCATAATAGCATATCATAATATGAAACCTGTTCTCAAATTTTCCTTTATTATTCACCTTTGATAAGTTTTAGAATTATCCTATTCTAAATCATCACAAAAGCCTCAGGTCTCACCTTAACAACATGCCTTGCTTCAGTCATAAATGTGTGGTTTGTGGTGTGCATATGCATATAAAATAATATTTTCCAAAGCTTGTATGGATAGGAACTATAAAGTTTTGAATTTTCAAATGGGCTTTTTATGGAATTTCTTTTGGGCTATATTTTATCTTCCCAGTTTTCAAAGCTATTCTTATGATAAAGTGGGGGTTACTTTCTACCAAAGAAATCCCACAGATTAAAAGTTTATGGATAATACATATTTTTATATTTATTTACTCCTTTTAATATTTTTTATTGAACTATACTAACATACATAAAATCTACAGATCTAAATGTTCAGTTTAGTGAGCTCTGACAATTGTACATCCATGCAACCATCACCCAAAACAAGATATAGAACATTTTCATGACCCCAGAAAATTCCTTTGGGTCCCTTGCAATTAATTCTCACCCCATCTTATCCCCCATAACCACTTGCTGAATTTCTATCACTATAGATTCATTTTTCTTTCTTTTTTCTTTTTTTGGTGAGGAAGATTTGCTCTGAGCTAACATCTGTGCCAATCTTCCTCTATTGTATGTGGGTCGCTGCCACAGCATGGCTTGATGGGTGGTGTAGGTCTGTGTCTGGGATCTGAATCTGCGAACCCAGGCTGCTGAAGTGGAGCCTGCCAGATTTAACCATTATGCCATGAGGCCAGCCCCCATTTTTATTCTTATTAGACTTAAATGGAATCACACAGGATGTACTGAATTGTATATGGCTTGTTTCACTTAACATGCTTTTGAGATTCATTCATGTTGTGGGTATCAGAGTTCATTCTTTTTTATTGCTAGTTAATATTCCATTGTATGAATATACCAAAATGTGTTTATCCTACCTTTTTTCTTAGTAATATTTTTTTTCTTAACACAAATGCAATACATGCTTATTATAAAATACAAATGAAAATTATAAAATACAAATGAGGAAGGAAGAAAATAAGTATCCATAATTCCACTTTCCAGACATAATCACTATTTAATAATTTGTATATCCCCTTTGAACCTGTTTATATAAGTTATCTACATATATATAATATATATAGTTATCACATATGTTGCAAAAATTCTCATTTTAGGTTCAAGTTTTACCACTTAGATTCTGATATTAGTGTGTTAAATTGGCACAATTCTTAGTTTTAACTATAGAATATTTTCTAAATTTTAAAAATTTAAAAAATAATACACAAATACACATTCATTGCCAAAAATTCAAATGATACATGGTATATAGAGTAAAAGTAAATGTTCTTGTTCAGCCCCCCATTTTGCTTGCCTCTCCATAGGTAGCCAGTGTTAACTAAATACAAAATCTTGACCAAGATGATATTGATAAAGACCATGAAGTGCTGAATTTATCACATAATTTTTCTGTTTTATTTTTTAATTTTATTTTCAAATTTTGTTATCTATACACCAGTGATCTTTCAGTCGGGATTAAATTATTTTATAATACCAAATGATCATGTTAGGACTAGTTCTAATACTATAATTTACTATCCATTTCTTGAGAAATGGTTTTTAAATATTTTCTCTAGGAGTGAGTAGAGTGCTATCTTAAGATTCTCTTTGATTGTTGAGTGGTTTATTCCTATCTGTTGTTGGAAGCCTAGATATGTATAGCTCTCTTTCAGTATGTTGACCTTTACTTATAGCCAACATATTTATCCTTCAATGGTAAATGTCTTTTCACTATTTATACTGACTTCACTTCTACACCAGGCTATCTATATGCTGTCATTAAAATTTAGAGACTGTCAGATGCAAAATCTTATTAAGGAATAGAGAATAATACAAAGTATTATTTTGGGTTTGCTCCTGAAGAGTACTTTGTTTCCTTAATTACTTTGTTTCATTAGCATTTTCCTCAATAGGAAAATGTGGCTTGCATTGACTGTCAAAGATGAGGCTTTGATTAATGTCTTAATTTGCACTTTTATGGACCTTTGAGTCCTTGCTGCTCTTTAGGACAGTACTTAAGACAGTGTACAGCAGATGGTGTCCTGGCAGGCAGGCTGTCTGTCAGTAGAGTGGGTCCAGAGACTCCTTGCCTCTCTGTAGTTTACTACAGATTCCAAAGATTGTTGTTTAATTTCCTCTGACTTTGAAGCTCATATACCTAGAGGCAGGCAAAAATGCAGCTGTAGTGAGTTTTAGTTGGAACTCTATTTTACATTCTTGGTTTTAGGACCAGAACATCCATATTTAGGTGAAGTCACATATGCCAAGTTCTATAGCCTATGAAGCCCAAAGCTCTAAGGACAGTCCTCTCTCACCATGGAGCTGCTAAGATTTTGTTTTGGTGATTAAATAAGAGAACAGTACAATCTGTGTGTGCAGAGTCCCATACAGTCTTAAAATTACTTTAAAATATTCCCTTTATTATATTAAAACAACAATGTTAGCTATTATTTAATGAGCCAAACGTTGTTAAAGCACTTCCTCCAAATCATCTCATTTAATCCTCAGTAAGAAGTTTGCTGGTTTATTATGAGCTCCCATTGAAGGCATTTGAGTATCTTCAAGCTTAGGAGTATGGGCTCTGTCCTGGAGATGAGGCTCAGAAATATGCAGACTGTTGCTGGCCTTATTATCTCACAAGGTCCAGTTAGTGAAATTTAGCATTATTGTAACTGGGAACTGTCCTGCTCTGGGGAACTCCTGATGATCGCTGGGCCTGTTTTTCCTCCCATCTGGTGTCTGCATGCCTCTCAAGTCAGGGAGAAAATTCTTTATTATAAATGGCCGTTGACACCTGGATTCCACCTAGAGAGAGCTCCAGCTTCCTCCTACTCTTCGTGTGCATTACAAGTTCTATACCCAACACTGTATAGTCTTGAATAAGACAGTGTACTAACTGACATCAGTGAAATTCCCAGCCCTATTTCTGCAGAGGGCAGCACTCCGACACTCTGGACTCTTACTCAAAGAAACTAGGTCTTTTGTTCTAGTGTTTGTCTACCCTTCCCACCCCCAAAATAAAGACTGCAGTCTTCCTAAACCTGAAAGAGAATTCGGTGATAGTAATCTACTCTTAGGTATCTACATTCTTGAAAAAGCCCATTTTCTCTCTTATTGTCTTCAAAACCTTGGTTAACCAGCTGCATTCACCTGGTATTTTCTGGACTCCTTCTCAGGTGACTGCTTTCTGCCCTCTCGATTTCTTTTCTAAAAAAGGGCAAATCATCCAGGAGTGCTACCCCCCACCGCAGCCGCAACCCCAAACATCGCGAGAGCAGAAACACTTATCCTCTTTTCTAGATACTCCCAGTGGTGAGGGAGAGGTTGAACCGAACCTCCTAAAATCCGCCCTACCTGCCCCCTCTGCTTTTATTCACCCTTTCTCCCCGCCCGCCACCACAGCCTCAGGGCCTTTTAATCCAGGCACAGAACTGGGTAGGGAGAGAATGTGGGGCTGCAGACTGGAGGGAGGCGGCGCGCAGCGGTACCTAGTGGCGCTGCCAGGCTGCTCCGTCCGGAGTACGTGGCACTACCCCTGGAGAGGGGGGGAGGGGAATCGGCTGTCTCCTCCCCACGCAGAGCCGCGGGACATCCCTCAGGGGCGGGAGGGAGGATCCACCAGGGAATTGATGCGCTTTTTTGGTGAAAGCTTAGTAGATGAAAGCGGCCTGGCAGCGGTCGGCAGTCCATCCTACTCTCCACCCGGTACCCACTGTGAGCCACGTCTGCGTTCCACCGCGAGGAGCCGTGACCAGATTTGGGGCGAGGGCCAAATCTGGCCAGCCCGCATGCGCAGAGCGGGGAGCCGGCCCCCGGACTACAGCTCCCAGAGGAACGTGCCGGTGGCCGCAGGCGCCGAGCCGCTGGCGCCATCTTGAAATCCGACCCTCAATCTCCGAGTCTTTGCGTCAGCAGCGGACGGCCGCTGCTGTACCGCGAACTCACCCTGCTAAAAGAGAGGACGTTGAGGACGCGGCGGCTGGCGGGAGAGACAGCTGGAAGAGACATGGCAGGTTCCGCGCGCGGCCTGCGCTGCTGTCACTCAGCATCCCCCTGAGGCGTTTCTACGCCCGCCCCCTCCCCGAGGGGCGGGGCTGACCACTGTGGTACCCAGAGCCCGCGCGCGGGTGGCAGAGGTGTGCCCCTGCAGAGTGGGGACCCCACCCGGCTGTGCCATGCCGGCCAGAGGCCGCGGAGGCGGGGGACGGAGCGCAACCAAGCGCCAGTGAGTGATCACCGAGCAGCAGCCACTTCAGGGAAGCTCGGCAACCGCTAGGAGGGAAGATGAAGGAGATTTGCAGGATCTGTGCCCGGGAGCTGTGTGGAAACCAGCGGCGCTGGATTTTCCACACGGCATCCAAGCTCAACCTCCAGGTTCTGCTTTCGCACGTCCTGGGCAAGGATGTCTCCCGCGATGGCAAAGCCGAGTTTGCTTGCAGCAAATGTGCTTTCATGCTCGATCGGATCTACAGGTTCGATACTGTTATTGCCCGGATCGAAGCCCTTTCTATTGAGCGATTGCAGAAGCTGCTGCTGGAGAAGGACCGCCTCAAGTTCTGCATTGCTAGCATGTATCGGAAGAATAACGATGACTCTGGCGCGGAGACCAAGGCGGGGAATGGGACGGTTGACATTTCCGGCTTACCTGATGTAAGATACTCTGCACTGCTCCAGGAAGATTTTGCCTATTCAGGGTTTGAGTGTTGGGTAGAAAATGAGGATCAGATTCAGGAGCTACACAGCTGCCATGCTTCGGAAGGCCCTGGAAACCGACCCAGGAGATGCCGTGGTTGTGCAGCTTTGCGGGTTGCTGATTCTGATTATGAAGCCATTTGTAAGGTGCCTCGAAAGGTGGCCAGAAGTATCTCGTGTGGCCCTTCTACCAGGTGGTCCACAAGTATTTGCACTGAAGAACCAGCATTGTCTGAGGTTGGGCCACCCGATTTACCAAGCACGAAGGTACTCCCAGATGGAGAAAGCATGGAGGAAGGGACACCAGGATCTTCTGTGGAATCTTTGGATGCAAGTGTCCAGGCTAGTCCTCCACAACAAAAAGATGAGGAAACTGAGAGAAGTGCAAAGGAACTTCTAAAGTGTGACTGTTGTTCAGATGAACAGGCTCCACAGCTTATGTGTAACCACAAGCTGGAGCTAGCTCTTAGTGTGATTAAAGGTCTTGATTATAAGCCCATCCAGAGCCCCCGAGGGAGCAAGCTTCCTATTCCAGTGAAATCCAGCCCACCTGGAGCCAGGCCTGGCCATATCATGACAGATGGAGTTAGTTCCAGTTTCCTTAACAGATCTTTGAAACCCCTTTACAAGACACCGGTAAATTATCCCTTGGAGCTTTCAGACCTGCAGGAGCTGTGGGATGATCTCTGTGAAGATTATTTGCCACTCCGGGTCCAGGTATACAAAATGGCTACATAGTACCTTTTTGATGATAGTTAGCTGGCCTCAGGCTTCACATGATTTCTGTCTAGGTGACGGTTAATTATATTCCAGACTAGAGAAAATTAATCATTGGCTCCTTTTTGCTGCACCTTTTGCTTGTGCCCCATTTAGTAAATGTGATTCACACTCAAATAATTTGCTTTTTATGATTCTCTTTGTAAAATATCTATCATCTTCCCATTAAATATCAAAATTGCAGACCTTTTGGAGACAAAAAGATAACGCTTCCTAATTCATTTTTACTCTATAAAAAGACATTTAATCTTATTTCTGGCACTAGAATTCTTTCCTCTTACCTCTTTTTTCTTTTTGTTCCCTCCTACATTTTGGTTTTGTTTTCATTTTTAGATATATGGATGTTTTCTCCTATCTGTAAGTGAGTGAGTTCTCCCTGGAGCGTTAAGCCTTTCATCCCCTGATATGCCTTAAACTGATTAGAGCATAGAGTAAAGGTTTGGGGAAAATCCATTAATCCACCAAAGTATTGTAACGTCTGGGTAATATTTATAATAAAATAATAGGTCATTTGAGGATTAATGATGACTTGTTCATAAAAGAGACTTGGGAATTCAAGTGTTGACCTTTAAAATTTTAAGACGAAAACTGTTCACAGCCAGTTTGTCTACTGAGCTCTTTTAGAAGATGTTTGATATTAAGAAAGTTTCATCCATTATTGGGTGATATGAGAGTTTCATCCATTATACTCTTGAATTTCTTAATGCCTAGAAGATAGCAGTTGATCTAAATTTAACTATTCATATCTGCCCAGTTGATTTCATACCAGCCTTTTAAATTCAACTATATACAGGGACCTGACAGATGCTGTTTTGTTTCTACAGCAATGGTAAATGCTAGATTCAATTACCTGTGTGAAACATCTGGCATGTTTTACTTGATACAGTTCTTCAGTGTTACCATTACAAAGGTAGACAATTTAGAAGGCATTTTTGGAAAGCCTGCTTCTGGTCAACGTTGTGTTAGAAATATAGAGCTTGATCGTAAATGAAATTGTTGATTGTCACTTGAAATTTTTGAAAAGTAGTTTTATTATATATAAAATTTGCATCACAATAAGAACTTAAGCAAAAAATGGGATAAATATTTTTAAATTTACACAAAATTGTCAGAAACAGCATATATGAAAATGTTATGAAATAAGTATAAATATGAAAAAGTTTTAAAATGTGTTTTCATTTGTATAAAATGGTAAGTATTAGTATGCCTAACACTTGTGTACTTCTTTTCTTTCGCTTCCTTTTCTTTCAGTGGATCCTCACAGCTAAATTTGGGCATTACAGTATTTCTGGGACCAGACACATAGATGTCACAAATTAAACATGGTGTTTTTGTATTAGGATCTAAAAGTAGGCAGGGCAGGGTAGGTGGGAAATAAGCTTTTTTCCCCCTCAAATATGGCCAATATTGTAGAAAGGGAAAGACTTAGAAAATTACAGGCAAAACAAAAGGAGTTTTTTCTCCATATTTAATTAAAAATGCTGTCTTTTGATGCCTGCAACTCAACAAATTTTGGAGTTGGGAATGATTTTAAAGATCATCTCACGCATGCTGTCAGTTTAGAGAGATGAAAAGCTCATGGCTTAAATAGCTTCGCCCAGGCAAGAACCAAAGATTCCTAACCATTCTCAGCCAAGACCATTTAATTCTGTATATTAAACCACATTGCCTGATGTACATTGAATTAAATAAGTACTTATTTTAAATGAAGAGCCTTCTTTCTATAACTTGAGGATTCTTTAGGGATTCTGTGAAGAAAATTGTCATCCTATTGAGCACAGTTATACTATGGTAACTGTATCTTTAGGTCAAGTCCCTTTACTTCACTAAATTTGGACCTTAGAAGAATAGACTTTTAAAACAGTAGTGTATGACCTTTCTGCTGTCACCTGGCTTACATTCTTTACTGTTTGTAGAATAATAAAACATAAAGAGGAGGGAGAAGATAACCATCTTGAAGAAGCATGGTGTTTAATTACTTTGTCATTTTCTCAAATAATTAAGGATGTGGAGGAAATAGATAAATTGAGCTCAAAGTGTTTGTAAATAAAATGTGTATTTTGGATCCCTGATCTATTGTTTCAGTCTGGTTGACTTTTAAGCTCCTTAAGGCCTGTTGTGCTTTATGGCAAAACCAGACCTAAGTGGGACAAAGGCAGACTGGTTTTTATCTATTTCTTTGAACAAATATGGAAAGAATAGAAATAAATGTAACTTATTTTTGGTAGTTCTCTTTTCAGTTTGTAGAAAGAAAAAAAAAATTTCCTTTAGTTAAATTCTACTACAAATACAGAGAAAAGCTCTTGTCTAAAGAGCGAGATTGTTCTGTAAGATCATTTTGATTCCTTTGTTTAATCCTCCATCTACCCCATTGTATGCACTATTAAATATCACCATCGGAATTCCTCCTGATTGCTTTTTTCTTTTTCTTTCTTTCCTTCTTACTTTCTTATATTAAAGAAAAATAGCAACAGTGTAGTTCTCCTGCTTACTAATTTTATGATATTATGCAAGTTGATTTATTTGTATTCAGAATTTATGCCTGAAGACCCAAGCTTGTTCAGATATCTAAAGAAAGGTTTGAAGCCTGATTTTATCTGGTAATTTCCTTCTTTATTGTCTTGCCCTGAACTAGAAGAGCTATGATAGGAGGGGTGTGGTCCCTTAGTAAACATCAATTCAGCTCTGGCCCATAAACATCAATTCAGCTCTGGCCCATGTGCAATTTCCTTTTCTATCTAAATTCAAAGAACAGGAGATCTTTATTTCAAGCCTTGCAATGCCAGGGTCTGCTCCAGTGTGACTATGGTAAATTCATCCCTCTCACAGTTTAGCTCCATAACCTAGATTAGGCCCTTTGAAAAGTGTAAGCATTAGATGCTGGTCAAAGATTAGGCCTTTAATTTTAAGCTAGTTGATGGTTCTTGTGTATCTCCTATTATTAGCAATAGGAGAGAAAATTACAGCAGTTTGAGATCTATGACTTGCTATTGTGAGGACTAGGAAAGTGCCAAGAGGAATGCTGTTAACCCAGAAGATCTAAATAGCTGCCTTTTAGCTTAAAGGTCTCACATTATGCAACATAAGGCCTGGGAGCAGTTCTTTTTTTCTGATGCTGGAAAGCATTTGTCCTGAGTCAAAAGCAACTTAATTTAAAATAATGTTATTATTACAACATGATTTTAGTAGCTGATAGTCTGGAGATTAACACCGATTCAACCAAATCAAGTATTACTGATTTCAGGCTCTACAAAATCTTCACAGGAGTGATCAGTTTATATATTTGATACTTCACAAGAATTCATAATGAGCTGTTGACTCGAGGACTTTGCTAAGTGCTCTTTTGGCAGACTGTTATCTGAAGGGACATTTTTCTAAGATGTAAAATAATGAAGTATTTTGAATAAAGAAGAAACAAACATCTTCCAGTTTTTAAGTCAAAACATTACATTTACAGAATTAGGGGTTTTTCTAGGATTGCTCATGCCAAGATGGGTGCAGATGAGATCCAGATTCATTATGAACTTTTCTGTGACATTCTTTGGCTTTAAAGTTGTGTTGAAGTATGTATATTAAATATCTATCTATCCAGTCTTATTTCTAAGAGAGCCACTGAAAGATTAGAACATTGGGGCAGGGAATTTGGAGACAGGCCTGTTTTTGTTTTTTTGCTCTTGGTTTTATTGTTCACTTATTAAACAAAAACTTTTGGTCCCTACAGTATTCCATGCATTCTGGTAGGCAGTGGGTTTATAGAGATGAAAGATACATTACCAACTAAAGTGCCTTGGGTTTAATTGGATCCTTTTCCTGATTTCCTGTGTAACTTTGGACAAATGACTTACCTTCTCTAAATCTCCATTTCCTCAAATGTAAGATGGGATTGAACCAGATGGTTAGTTTATAAAGTTTCCTTCACAGCTCTAAGATTCTTTGTTTTACAGTGAATAAATGTGACCACCTTCCTTTGCCATTTTAAACTTGAAGCTATTTTCTTTAATTCTGCTTGTTATAGTTTAAATTCGAAAAATATCTTATAATAGCTGTTATTGGAGAGATGTTGTACGCTGAGGAAGTAAGAAGCTAAGTTTTGTAGAGAATGTTTTATCATTAAATAAATGATAAAATTATTTATTTATCAGTTAGAATTGTTGTAAATCTCTATTAAAATAGTTACCTCTCCCATAGTGTGACATAATTCACATTGCTTCAGGGCAAGGCTCCTTCTTATACCGTCAACAAGAAATATCCCAATTTTTCTAGGAGTCATTATCCCTGCTGCTTCTCTCTTTCTCTCTTTCCCGCTATCCAGCCCTGTTGACTCTACTTTCAAAACATATCCAAGTCTATCTGTTTTTCTGCCCCTCCATTACTCCCACTCTTATCTTTCACCTGCTCTACTGCAGCAGCCTCCCAGCTGGTCTCCCTGTTTCTGCTGGTGCTGCCCAACAATCCATTCACCACAGAGCAGCCAGAGTGATCCTTCTAAAATTTAAATATGATTGGATTACTTTTCTTTTTAAAACACTGCAGTCCATTCTCATTTCAATGAGAATGAAATCCACCTTTGCTCACCCTGCTGCACAGAAGCTGTGTATGACCTGGCCCCTGCCTTCCTTTCCACCTCATCATATATTACTAGCCCCATGTTACCCAGCAAGGTATCCACTAGCCTTATGTGGCTAGTCCGAATTGAGATGTGCTGTGAGTGTAGAATAAACCCCTAATTGCAAAGACTCAGTATGAAAAGATTGTAAAGTATCTTGTTAATAATTTTTATATTGAGTACATGTTTATGATAATATTTTGGATATAATATATTGGATCAAATAATATATTTTATTAAAATTAAGTTCGCTTATTTATTTTTACGTTAATCAATGAAGTTACTAGAAAATTTAAAATTACATATATGGCTCACATTATATTTGTATTGGAAAATGCTATGCTGGCCACATAGGTGGTTCTCTTTTTCTCTTTCCTAGGCTCATATCCGCCCTAGGTCTTTTCCATTAGCTGTTCCCCCTGCCTAGATTGTTCTGTAGATCATTGCAGGACTGGCTCCTTGTCATGCAAATCTCAATTTAAATGCTGCCTGATAGAGACCTTCCACCGGTCAACCAATTTAGAGTAACTTAACCACTTTATCATGCTTTCCTATTTTACAGCATAGGGCTTGTCACTGCTGATATTTTGTGTATTTCCTTGTTCCTTCATTATGTAGCTCCCCACTCCAGCTCCCACAGTGCTTTGCATATTATGGTACTTAATAGATGTTAAAAAACTTTTTCGGGCCGGCCCCGTGCTTAGCGGTTAAGTGCTCGCGCTCCGCTACTGGCGGCCCGGGTTCGGATCCCAGGCGCGCACCCACGCACCGCTTGTCCGGCCATGCTGAGGCCGCGTCCCACATACAGCAGCTAGAAGGATGTGCAACTATGACATACAACTATCTACTGGGGCTTTGGGGAAAAAAAGGAGGAGGATTGGCAATAGATGTTAGCTCAGAGCTGTTCTTCCTCAGCAAAAAGAGGAGGATTAGCATGGATGTTAGCTCAGAGCTGATCTTCCTCACAAAAAAAAAAACCAAAAAAAACTTTTTCCAGGGAGCTGGCCCTGTGGTGTAGTGGTTAAGTTTGTGCGTTCGGCTTTGGCTGCCTGGGGTTCGTGGGTTCAGATCCTGGGCGGGGACCTATGCACTGCTCATCAGGCCATGCTGTGGTCGCATCAGATGTTGGGCACAGATGTTAGCTCAGGGCTAATCTTCCTCACTAAAAAAAGAGAAAGATTGGCAACGAATGCTAGCTTAGGGCCAATCTTCCTCACCAAAAAAAAAAAAAATTTTTTTTTCCGAAATCTTTATACCACCTGTCAGTTGTTGGCAGGGAGAGATTTAAGGTAAGCTGTAACCCCACTGCTTGGAAGGTGGTAATCAGAATTTGAAAGTGTGAGGGGAAAGAAAAAATGAATAGCAGTTACCTTTTTTCTCTTCCGCATGGATTTATATTTTTCCTAATTGGAGTGAATGGTGCGGGGCAGAGAGAGAGGAGATGGAATTTAATGCCACAGTGAATTCCTAAAGTTTTATTTTAGTACCCTTAGCTTATGATAAGTATTAATGACAGTTCAATAGTTTATCTTAGTCTGATTGATCATCTCATATATAAATGATATGTGTTTTTTCTCCTGAATCTTTTTGGTGAATTGATATTCCTATAAAACACATTTCCTTCTGAGATCACATGGATTTTTAAATTTATTTTTATCTTTTTTTACTTTTTATTTTGAAATGATTTCAAACTCACAGAGACATCATAAGAGAAGTGCAGAGAACTCCCAGATTTCCCAGTTGCTAATATTTGCCCAGATTCACCACTTGCTAATATTTTGGTACATTTGCTTTATCACTCCCACTGTCCATATAGACACGTTTTGTTTCCTCAATCGTTTGAGAATTAGTTGCAGATATTGTGTATCTTTACACTAAATAAGTATGTATTTCCTAAAGACAAGGACATCTCTTACATAACTACAGTAGAGTTACCAAATTTAGGAAATTTAGTATTGATAAAATACTATTATTATCTCATGTATAGTCCATATTCAAAATCTGCCCATTTTCTCAATAATGTGAACAGGCATGTTATAAAACAGATAGTTGAAATATAACTTTTCTTCTCTTAGGGATTGTATAAGTTTGATCAGCCTTTTGAGTTCCCTGATTGAAAATAGTATAAAGTGTATATTTGGTTATCATAAGCATTTTCTTTTTATAATCCTCTTTTCTCTTTAAATTCTGAACTTTTTACTTTAACTGAATATGTAGTGTTTGTGTGAGTTCATGAGGAAAGGTAGGGAGGAGAGTTAGGGCTTATTGTAAGGATGGAAGTGAATCAGTACTCTTAATAAGAAACTAGACTGTCTTCAGGAATTCGTAATGATAATGTATGCAATAACTCTGATTTTCTAAGTCTCTGGCAAAAGATGCCAAAGACATTTGAAGATAAAGTTAAAATTTATTGTTGGCTACATTTAACTCAACTTGTCTTACTGCTTCTTCCTAGCCCATGAACGAAGAGTTACTCAAACAACAAAAGCAGAATTCAGATGAGACCATAATAACTCAACAGTCTGTATCTGATTCCCACTTGGCAGAACTCCAGGAAAAAATCCAGCAAACAGAGGCCACCAACAAGGTATGATCGATACCATGCCCTTGGTGATCACAGGGTTTCCTGAGGATGTGACTGGCTCTAGCTGAGTCTATTAACCTCTCTGAATAGGTCTTGGGAGATAGATACTGTGTATTCCTGGAGCTCTAGGGAATATTTGATTAAGAGTGTGATTCTTTTATCTCTTATCAAGATTTTAGCCTCATCTGCACAGATCAGAATTTCTGGTGCCTTTTAGGTCTGTAATTAAAACTTGAATGCAGTCTTTAACTGTGTAAGGCACGGAGAGGGGAGGTTTGCGCTTTTGATTTTAGCTTAACTTCTCACCCCTTTATAGCTCATGGATTTTAACATCTGCTTAGAAGATAATTCCCACAATTTGAGTTGCTGAGCTTCTGGCCTGGTATGTCCTTGTAGTGTATTGTCCTTTACTAGACAGCAGAAGCTCCTTTGGTCTTTGTGTAAAGGATCCACGGTGACTCATGAGGATAAGTACTCAGTACGGCTGCCATCATAGAGAAAGCACAGTGCCTGATAATTGAAGCAATTGAGCATTAAAGGAAGTATTTAATATTCCCTGCTGCTTTCTCTTGCTGATTAATGTAGAACCTTAGTGGTTACTATATGTGGGTAAAAAATAATGTGGTAATATTCCTTAAGAAATCCTTTAAACCTAGATTTAAGAAGGACTTCATGGTTGCATTTGAGGTTAAAAGAAATAATTGACCTGTTTTTCTTTGCTGAATTCAGATTCTTCAAGAGAAACTGAATGAAATGAGCTGTGAACTAAAGTCTGTTCAGGAGTCATCTCAGAAGCAAGATGGTACAATTCAGAGCCTCAAGGAAACTCTGAAAAGCAGGGAAAGTGAGGTAAAATATTTGGCAGTTAAGGACCTGTGAAGAAATAATTTGTCCCATTAAAGTAGACAAGTATTGTATATTTTGTAGAAACAGATCTTGTCAGACTAACAGATCTTAGCCTAGAGAAATTGTAGTGTAATCTAAATTGGTATTTTGGAATAGTCCCGTTACTAAAATCTGTATGGATGAGATAATGGAATTCGTATTTCGTTTACTAACAAGTTTAATACTTCCTCTCGCATTTTCAGACTGAGGAGTTGTACCAGGTGATTGAAGGTCAAAATGACACAATGGCAAAGCTTCGAGAAATGCTGCACCAAAGCCAGCTTGGACAACTTCATGTATGTGAGGTCACATAGGACAGGAGATGAGACTCTGGTTGGGGATGTGACACTCTCAGTGACAGTCTTGATTTTGTTAGTCTTCTCAGCTGCTCGGGGCTTGCCCTCCTTATGATGATTTTTACTCTCTTTTCAGAGCTCAGAGGGTACTTCCCCAGCTCAGCAACAGGTGGCTCTGCTTGATCTTCAGAGTGCCTTATTCTGCAGCCAGCTTGAGATACAGAAGCTCCAGAGGGTGGTACGACAAAAAGAACGCCAACTGGCTGATGCCAAACGGTGTGTGCAGTTTGTAGAGGCTGCAGCCCATGAGAGAGAACAGCAAAAAGAGGCTTCTTGGAAACATAACCAGGTAAATCATTAATCATTTTGTGGCCCTAAACGCTGACTTTGCCCTGATAATAACTTTTTATCAGGACAGTTTGTGTTGAACCCTTGAGTTCACTTGCTTAGTCTAAGTAATTCAGTTCAACATTTGTTGCTCCCATACCATGTGCCAGATGTTGGGCTGTGTTCTGGAAATACAAGAGTGAATATCACAGGCTCTTTCCTCTTAAGTTACTTGCAATTTAGTATGAGAGACAGTCACATACATAGAATTTCAGTGTGGTAAAGAGTGTAGAGGATGGGGGTCCTATAGGAATATATAGGAGAGGCTGAGGAAGAGAGTCAGGGAAAGCTTCATGAAGGAGGAGATATCTGAGGTTATTCCTGAAGGATGGGTAAAAGTCAACGAGACAGAAAAGTGGGAAAGAACAACCAAGGTCAAAGGAATGCCATGCACAGTTAGCCATGCATTTTTTTTTTTTTTTTAAATCATATAATTCTTAAATGGTTCTTTTATCTTGTTAGCCTAGAGCACACACTGTCAATTTCTTTTTTTAAGATTTAAAAGGATGGTAAAAATATCCTATGCTTGAGCTTATTGTAAAGTAAAGGATCCAGGTTTACAGTGGGACAGAGTCCCACTTAGTAGTTATATAGCTCTATGATTTTTAAACCAAAAATAAATATTGAACTATAATATCAAATTTATGTCCTATCCTCATCCACAGTTCCCACAATTTCCTACGTCCTATTTGATTCGTGTATGTTTCTATAGTAATTTTAAGAATGGCACTGCCTGCTACTTCATATTTGGTTCTATATGCCTTGAAAGTTTTAAGGCCTCCATATCTAATGACCGTGTGAAAATTTTTGATTGTTTAATAAAGGGAATCTGTTTAATTCAGGAATTGCGAAAAGCCTTGCAGCAGCTACAAGGAGAATTGCAGAATAAGAGCCAACAGCTTCATACCCTGGAGGCTGAAAAATACAATGAGATTCGAACCCAGGAGCAACACATTCAGCACCTAAACCACAGTCTGAGTCATAAAGAGCAGCTGCTTCAGGTGAGTCTACATAGTGATTTCAACTAAAATCGGGCTCATAGAGCTCTGAAATTTCTATTCATATAATCTCAAGATATTAGTCCATCTGTGTTAAGTGCCTGTTACATGATATGTAGAACATTGAGAGGTGAGAATCAGGAGGATTCCATAGAAATAGAAATAAATAGAAAGTACAATCCGTGAACCAAAATGCTAACCAGCAAGTGTAGGAAACAATAAATGTAGACCTGAAAGACTTATGCAATAAAGATTCAACAAATCGTTATTGAGCACCTCTGTGAGTCACAGACTACGCTAGGTGCTGGGAAGAGAAAGAGAAGATATGTCCATGCTCTCAGTCTAGTAGGTGAAGACATCTGTATGAAATTTCCACAGAGTTATTTAGATGATAAAATGAAAGTTTTAAGGAAAAATGGAACACTAAAGAAGAGTGATCAGTTCTACCACCTACTCAAAGCTTCAGTCATATTGAATCCCTTACATTTTGCTGAGCATACAATTTTTTACAGTGTACATATATTGTGCATATATTTTTTCTTTGACAGAAATACCTCCACCACTTCTTCACTTGGGAAACTCCTAGTCCTTTAAGACTCAGAGCAAATGTGACCTCTTTTGTGAGATCTTTAGCGACACCTTCAGGCAGAGTTAGACAATGCATCCTTAGTTTCCCTATTACTGGCTACACACATGTGCACACACACGTATATGTGTATGTATATATATATACATATATATATACATACACATATATGTGATGCAGAATAGTTAACAGTTTATATGTCTGTTATCTCTACTAAACTGTGTTCCCCTTGAGAGTGATCACATTTTGGTTTTTATCTTGAATAAGAAATTGCTTGACAAAGTGTAGGAATTCAGTTAATATAGGATAAATGAATAAAGGAAAATATTTTTTGGTCTCAGGAATTTCGGGAACTCCTGCAGTATCGAGATAACTCGGACAAAACCCTGGAAGCAAATGAAATGTTGCTAGAGAAACTTCGGCAGCGAATACAAGATAGAGATGTTGCTCTAGAGGTATGTGCCATAATTTTGCTCACAACTCTATGGATTAATTTATTCATGTGGGTGCTATAGAAATGTGTGTCTACTTAATTTGCTGCTTTTTGGAATTGGTTTTCTATTCCTTGATATTTGGAATCTTATTGAATAAGGATGATCAGAATAGTAAATCTTATGGAGCTTTAGGATCCTTACTTTCCTTGCAGCGGGCTATAGATGAAAAGTTTTCTACTCTAGAAGAAAAAGAAAAAGAGCTACGTCACCTTCATCTTGCTGTGAGAGAGCGAGATCATGACTTGGAGAGATTGCGCAGCATCCTCTCTTCTAATGAAGCTACCATGCAGGTAAGAGCAAAATCTGTCATGGCTTGGTATCTCTCTCCCTCTTGGATTCTAGGCCTGAAGCATCAGCCCCTTCCATCATTTTCTGAAAACCAGGGAATTTGCTTTCTAAGAAAAAAAATAAAAAAGCAAACAAAATAGCAGTCATTAGTTCCATCGTTATAGATTAGGAAGTAAGACATTTTTGCTTCTACTGTGAAGTTGGTAGGGGGATGCAGTGAACACGGATTTCTGTACGTAGTTCTAATTTATTTCTAATCCTTGTCAATATCTATATACTTTTACATAAGCATTGCCAGTATGCAACTATTATATTGTGTTTATCTAATTAATTTTACAGTCATGTGTCACTTGATGTGGATGCATTCTGAGAAATGTGTTGTTAGGTGATTTCATTGTTGTGCAAACACAGAGTTCACTTGCACAAACCTGGATGGTATAGCCTACTACACACCTAGGCTATCTTATGGGACCACCATCGTATATGCAGTCTGTGTTGACTGAAAAGTCATTGTGTGGTGCATGACTGTATATACATGTCCCAGTATAGCCACAATCAGAACACTTGTTTATTTTATTAACATTTACTGTGGGCTATTTTTTATATTTATTTTAGAGCTTATATATCTAACCATCTGTTACTTCTTTAAGAAGTCCTTCACTTCGTTTGTAGCATAGCCTACTTCCTCCAAAATACTTCATTTATCACGTACATTATGTATATCTCTCTACAAACTAGAGGAGAATGTCTAAAAGCAAAAAATAGATGAGTATGACATTGTTAGGTTAGATACTAAGTTTTCTCCTTTTGCAAAAAGTTGATAGATAATTTAGGAGCTAATTTAAAGGTGGATCAAGTTTCTTGTTTATCCTGAGGAGTGTGGGGCAGCCCTTTGACTTATGGTTGCTTTCTTTGTGACCATGTAGAGTATGGAGAGTCTCCTGAGGGCCAAAGGCCTGGAAGTGGAACAGTTATCTGCCACCTGTCAAAACCTCCAGTGGCTGAAAGAAGAATTGGAAACCAAATTTAGCCATTGGCAGAAGGAACGAGAAAGCATCATTCAGCAGTTGCAGACGTCTCTGCATGACAGGAACAAAGAAGTAGAGGCAAGACTTTAGTTAACTTAAAGGCAGTGGTTTAGTGATTACGTAATCTCCGTCTTGAATTAGAAATCTTGAGGTCTGGGAGGCCAGTGACCCAACTCTTCAATTCCATTCTGTGCCTGGGCAAGTCATTGGCTTTCAATGGGACTGTAAACTCAAGGAGACAATTATCTTTCTCAAAGAAGTTATGTGAGAATTAATGAGATCCAAATAATGCACCTACATTATGGTAGCTAACCTTTATTAGTTGTGGTACTTGTGTTGTGTCAGGCACTATTATAAGAGCTTAATGGATATTAACTCATTGAATCCTCACAAGTCTATGAAGTACATACTTTTATCCTTCTTTTACAGACAAGGAAGCAGACTTCTGAAGTGAAGTAACTTGTCTAAAGTAACATAGCTAATAAGTGGCAGAGCCAGTGTGCAACACAGGTGGTTTGACTCTGTGGTTTTAACCACTATGTACTACCTCTCAGTGTAGAAATAGGAACTGCTTCACCATGCTAATAAATATAGTGCCCATTATTCTTTTTCAGCTTATCATATTGTGTTCCCCCTATGAAGTTACACTGGAGTGAAAATAAATGAGATAAATGAACTGAGTGTCTGTTTATCCTCAGCTAATATTAATTATTATGTTCCCTGAGCAAATAGGGAAAGGACTTATTTCAGAAAACAATATGTACTTTGCCATTATAAGTATTTTTCTGTATTGTTAGTGTTCATTCATTGAGCATGTATTTACAGCCTCCTGTGTGCCAGGCCTGTGCTAGATATGGGGAAACAAAGATGAATAAACCAGGATACTCACTCTCCAGAATCTTACAGCCCTTTCTTCTATGATAGATTCTTATAAGCCCTTTGATATGTAGTAGAGGGAATTCTTGCCTCCAAAACTTACACTGCCCCTTCTGTATTAGGATCTTAGTGCAACATTGCTCTGCAAACTTGGACCAGGGCAGAGTGAGATAGCAGAGGAGCTGTGCCAGCGTCTACAGCGAAAGGAAAGGATGCTGCAAGACCTTCTAAGTGATCGAAACAAACAAGTGGTGGAACATGAACTGGAGATTCAGGGCCTGCTTCAGTCTATGAGCACCAGGGAGCAGGAGAGCCAAGTAAGGACTAATACACTCATCAGAGAAGTATCACTTAGTGCATTTGTAGTCTGTGAATAGGAAGCATCTGAACCTCCTAACGTGTTTGTTTATGTCTTTTCACAGTCCGTTCTGTCAGTTTTTTTTCCCTTTAATCTATTGACTTGATTACAGTTTTACATCAGTCATCAAAGTGTGAAATAATTTTGGAACACTTTGCATCTAGAAGGGTCCCTAAACAATACATGTACCCACCTGTTAACTTCATCATGTACATTGTCTTTTCCTTCATATTCTGATCACTTTGACAGAAAGGAATATGGCGTTCTGGAGTGTTTTAATTTTGATTCTAAATTATCAAGACTTGAGTGATATTTTGTATTTCCAGCCAAGGTATGGGAAAACTTACACTTCACATATTTTCTCCTAATTCTTGTAAAATCTGAGTTCCCATAAGAGGAAAAAAAGATTGTGTTTTTTCAAAGGCCATGATGAAAATAACCTCATAATAATATGGGGTATATTAATCTCAAAATAATGGTACATAGGTATTAATTTATCCTCATTTCCATGTGTCTTTCTCGTCAAGGCTAAAGACTGGTGTAGTTGACTCATGCTGCATTTCAGAGACCAATCAATCAGAATCCCCCTTGTCAATTTTTAGAGGGAACTAGATTCTTTTAACTTGCCTATGTTATTTGACCATAATATTCTCCAGTGCTTCCTTATATTATGGAATGGTGATATGCCACTCTTCTAATTCTCAGGCCCACAGAAGTAAATACACATTTTGCTATAAACATGCTGTCATGTGCTGTAGAAATTGCTTCTAGAATAGACCTAACAAAATCACTGTGAGTTATTTAAGTCTTTGGCAAGAGGCTAATAAGCCTTTATTTGAGTTTTCTTTTTAACTCTTTTGTAATTTGAAAGAATGAGTCTTATTACACCTCAGAAAGAAATATTATACCCTGATAGTAGTAAAATAATGGAACCTAGGAAATGACTGAAATTACAAAAGATTTTCAACTCAAGAAGGAGAGTAATGGTTGTATTCTTCTAGATCTGCTTCTCGGATTTTCATTCAGATGAATCCCCTGGATAGTGTTTTAAAAACATAGATTCCCAAGCTCACCCCCAGAGATAGAAATTAGGAAGTATAGGTGGGACTCAAGCATCTGCATTTCTTACAAGCTGCCAGATGATGGTGACACTACTGGCTCATGGACCACACTTGGAGGAGCACTGCTAAAAACAACACTACTAGAAAAAGAATACCAAGCCAGATAAATCATATATATGACACAAGATATCTTGTATGTTATTTGTTATGTTTTTTCCCATAATAATTTTCACTGAGATTTTTATTAAGGCAAATTAAGGTACTGATACCTTTAAGATGGTTATGCCCAAATCCCTAAAGAGCCTAAATTTTACTTATTAAAAATGGAAGGTTATTCTTTTATTTCTCTTAGAAATTATGCCAAGAGCTCAGCTTTTCATTTGAAACAGTAGTAATTCTCCCCAGAGATAGTCAGTGCTATGATAAAGCTAATACAGTTCTGATTCATCATCTTATACCCCCAGTAATTTTAGTCTTAGTTGATTATTTCCAGATTTTCTGGTTAAATGGAGGCTTTCTATGCGGTGATGGTCACAAATAATGTTCTATATCTTTTCCTTATTGTGCTATCACCTGTCTTACAATTTGTAATGAAATAAACAGGGTTTGGTGGTTTTGAGGTTCATATGCTCCTGATCATGTGGTCTGATAACAGTGTTTCTGTACAATTGATTCATTCAATAAACATGAATTGAATGCCTATGTATCAAGTACCTACTATGTGCCAGCTGCTGTTCTGGGTGCTTGGGATTCAGCACTAACAAAACATCTTAGTACCTGCCCTTTGGAAGCTTACATCCTGTTGGGAGAGAAAGAGAGAGACAATAAACAGATAAATGGTAAGTGCATTGTAAAAAAATTTAGCACAAAGGGAATTGCGAGTAGAGGAGAGATTGCTGTTTTAGATAGGATATGCAGAGAAGGCCAGTCTGATAAGGTAACATTTGGCAGAGACCTAAAAGGAGCAAATTAAACGAATGTTTGGGTAAAGAACATCCAGGCCGAAGGCACATGTATCCCAGAGTAAAGAAAGACAATTCAAACCAGAATCTTAACACCTTAGCCTGATAGAGTTCTAGCAGAACCAATTTCAGATTATTTTATCTTTAATAGATGTGTTATATTCAGTTTTTCCAATAATCTGCCTATGACAGACTTTCTTTCCACTATATTTTTCCCTAAAACACGAGGCAAGGAAACTATTTCTTTGGGACCCACTCGCTTTTCATAAACGGTTGACTCTTAACAAATAACATCAGAACATGAATTTTGTTTTGTTGAAGTATCTTTCCAATGTTGTGTGTGATTTCCTTACTAGGCTGCTGCAGAGAAGATGGTACAAGCCCTAATGGAAAAAAATTCAGAATTACAGGCCCTGCGTCAATATTTAGGAGGGAGAGACTTCATGGTGTCCCAAGCACTCACCTCTAAACAACCCGCTGAAGTTATCTCCATCAGCCCCCATCTTGGAGAGCAGACAGATCAAGTAAGAGCTATAGACTTGTGTAGATATTCATGCTAACTGCATATTTGAGGTCTAAGTTTGATAATTTTAATACTAAATTGTGTGAGAACATTCTAAGTCGTCATCATTGTGATCATGGTTTCTGCATTTTCCTAAATCTCCCAACTCTTCCAATTTTTAGGGTTCAATGCATATATCCTCCAGAGATGATGGCACTTCATTGACTGCCAAAGGGGATACCAGCATACCCAGGTCCTCATTAGGTAAGTATCAAATTTCATTTCATTAAGGAACTTCCTGTCTTTCTTTCCTGTAATTCTCTGTTCATAGGTTTGGTCAAGACTCTCTTTCTCTTTCTACCTTGATGGAAAAAATAAATATGAATTCCCCTGAAAGGCTGAAGACATATCTATAAACTGCCCTTACCTTAAGTTGAATAGAGGTTATCACTCTGAGTACGCAATTTGGCTCAGGGAAACTGCATCTTAATTCTCTTTTTCAGATAGCTTTGCAGGGATTCAGAGATGCAGGAGGTAGTGTTTCCAAACCTACACAGCAGGACCATGGGGCCAACACCTTCTCCTGGGTATCTTTCAAAAATGCTGAGGATACTCACTATAACTTGACATCACCTACATTACAGCATTGGGAGGGCTAGGCAGTGTACGTTGAGTTATTTGCTGAACTCACCTCAACTCCATCTAAGGGATGGTTGTAGGCCTTTCCTAAAAACAACTAAATTCTGTGCATGGTGAGAGCAAAATTCATATAGATACCTTGGATTAGAGTCTCTGACTTGCACAGAGCGAAAGGTTGGGATCTAGGGTAGCTTCAAGGAAGATATTCCCCAATGAGTTCCAGAAGTAGGGACTCACCATGATTAATGAAGTGGTGATTATAGTGCTATGGTAAGAAAGGTTGTGGACTTGGAGAATTAACATGACTTTTTAATGATATTAAGAATGTAAAAACATTGTGTCTATGTTATAGTGTAGGGTATTATGGAATTCCATAGATAAGTCATGCAAGTAGTCATTTTTTAGTAGGAGAACTTTATGCTAGTCAGAGTAAAGAATGCTGGATTTGTTTAATTTACTCTCTATTACCTATTTTTAAAAAGTACCTTTTCCCGATATTTTATTTTGCAGATTTCAAACCTATAGAAAAGTGGCAAAAATGGTACAGTGAATACCCCCTATAAACTTTTATTAAGATTCACCAGTTAACATTTTGCCACATTTGCATTATTTCTTTGCATACACACACATAGATATAGTGTTTTTTTCCGAACTATTTAAAAATTCCGTATAGACATCATGACACTTCATCCCTAAATACTTTATTATGTATTTCCTGAGAACAAGGGCATTCTCCTACATAACTACAATATAATTATCACGTGGTAAATGTAATCCTAATATAGTCCTGGTATCTAATATACAGTGCATATTCAGAGTTCTCATTATCCAAATAATGTTCTCGATTGCTGAGGTGTTTTTTTTTTTTTCCCTTCAGGGATTAAGCATGTGCTTAGTTGTCATGTCTCTGTAGTCTCCTTTACTCTAGAACAGTTTTGAGCCTTTTTTGTCTTTTTTGACATTGGCATTTTTGAAAACTCTGGGTCAGCTAATGTCCCTCAGCGTGGCTCTGATTGTTTCCTCCTGGTTAGATTCAAGTTAAAAATTTTTAGCAAGAATACTACATGAGTGATGTCTTTGTTGGTGCATCACACCAGCAGCACGTGATATCAGCTGGTATTATCCTTGGTGATATTAAGTTGAGTCATTTCGTTAAGGTTTTATCTGCCAGATTTCTTCATTGTAAACAAGGTTCATTTTTCCCTTTGTAATAAGTGATCTGCCCACTAATAGCTTGAGATATTGACAGTTCTATTTCCCCACAGTCATTCAGCCCATGGTTTTAGCATCCTTTGAGCCTTGCCTGAACCATAACATTGGTATTTTTAAAAAGTGATTTTCTATTTCTAAAATTCTTTATTTATTTATTAGCATGTATTCTTTTATAAAGAAGAGCTGTCCTTCCCCTATCCTCCCCACTCCATTTGTTTGTTTATATCAGTATGGACTAATGGATTCTTTTTTTAAAAAAAAGTCATTTTATTATCTATTTCTGTCATTTTTCCTTTGGATGCCCAGATTATCCCAGATTTGGCCAATAGGAGCCCCTTCAAGTTGTTCCTCTAGCCTTTTGATATTTCCTCATCAGTTTTTGAGCATTTCCATACTTTTTGTCACAGTAAGATGTTCTGTGATCACTTCTTACTTTCCCTGCCTCAGCCCTGGAATCATCCATTACTTCAAGGAGCTCTATGGTTCTTTTTAGTGGGTAATGGCATCTAGAAACTAAGATCTGGGCATAAGGTGTGTTCATTGCTACAAGGATGTCATTTGCTTCTAGACCCTTTTATTTATTTATTTATTTTTTATTTATTTTTATTTTTTTTTTATTTTTTCCCCCCAAAGCCCCAGTGGATAGTTGTATGTCGTAGCTGCACATCCTTCTAGTTGCTGCACGTGGGACTCGGTCTCAGGATGAACGGAGAAGTGGTGCCTCGATGCGCACCCGGGATCCGAACCCGGGCCACCAGCATCGCAGCGCGCGCACTTAACCACCAAGCCACAGGGCCGGCCCTAGACCCTTTTAAAAGTGAACCCAGCGAGGGATGTATATATCCATACCTATATATATAGATAGATAGATTTGACCATATATGTATATATACATTTGATACTGATTCCTCTAATTCCAGTTTAACAACATGGATTCTTTCTTTCCTTTATTTTATATTTGTATCTGCCTTCTCCCAACATTGAGAACCCTGGTTACCTATAATGTCAATATATTGCAGTATGTTTACACATTTGTACAATACACAAAAATAGTTTCAGAATCACTACATGCATACTGCTAGCAACAATAACTCTATTAAATGATGTTTAAGATTTCTTTGTAATTCTTTTTAACCTTAGAATATTTCTCACTAAGGATGTACAGTTAGAATACTGAGTTTAAAAATTATTTGGATTAATTTTTTTATTCTGGGTGGTTATGTTATCTATTTGCCATATCGTTTTATTTATTTGTGTTAGGTTATTTATAAATGTTTACATTATTTATATTTATGTTTATGTTATATTTATTTATATATTTATGTTATGCTATTTATTTATGTTTTCCATATAGGTTTATTTATTTTAGGCGTTTTGTCCCCCATTATTGTTGAACTAACTTTACACGTTAAAAATAAAACATTAACATGGTTCAAAACTCAAATAAATAAAAAGATGTACTTAGAAGTCCCATCTACTTTCCTGTCCCTTTTCTCCTGTTTCTACTCATCCCCTGAAGGCAACCAGTTTTATTTCTGGGTTATTCTTCCTGTGTTTCTTTTTGCAAAAGTAAGCAGATCAATCACATGTGCATATGTGATGTGTATGTGTGTGTGCTTATTTCTCCCTTTTCCTAATGTAAAACATACTACACTAGATGTATTCTTTTGTACCCAGCTATCTTTACTTAATGATAGATCTTGGAAATGACTCCACATCAGTTTATAAAGAACTTCCTCATTCTTTTTCACAGCTGTATATACATAGCTGTATACATGTATGTATATAGCTTCATTGTGTAGATATGCTATTGTTTATTCAACCTTCTTTTTACAGTTGATTGTAGTATTTAGCTATTACAAATAATGCTGCAAACAACAACCTACGCATATATGTTGCATTTTATTGTTGGAGTGTGTCTTCACAGAAAATTCCTCAGAAATGAGGCAGCCGAGATCACATTATGTAAATAGTGATTAACACGAGCACTTTATTTTTCATTTTTAGGAGACTTGGACACAGTTGCAGGGCTGGAAAAAGAACTGAGTAATGCCAAAGAGGAACTTGAGCTTATCGCTAAAAAAGAAAGAGAAAGTCGGGTGAGTTTTCTAGTCAAGCCTAATTTCTAAATTCCTATTTTTTTCTGTCAAAATAGTTTACATTTAAAAGACTACAGTTCTCCAAGTACAATATCTGGGTCCAAATGCAAGGTTGGGTCCAAATACCTTTTTTTTGCCTTTCTGGAGAAAAATAGAAATCATTTCATATACACATTATCTCACCAAGATGCTCTTGTTTTTATAAATGAGAACCGTTAAAACTTTTTATATACTGAAACACAGCTTTCTCTGTCCATTTCTAACTGGAATAAAATAATTGTAAAATACTTTGAAAAAATGAAGTGCTATATAATTGCTGCTTAGAATTATGACATTAGATCCATTAAATCAGTTTTAGAAACATGGAATAAGAGAAATTTAAGAATGATCAATAATGTTTACTGAGTACTTGTCATATGTTCTGGTACTTAGCACAAATACTTGCAATTCTATGCAAAGTAAATGCAAAGTAAATGTATATTTACTTTATATAGTATATATATATACTTACTATATATAGATGGAGAAGCTGAAATACTGATTTTTTAAAACATGGAGGTGGGGAATAGTCATATAACTAAGAAATACCAAAGCTAAGATATAAACTCAAGTCTTTTGTGACTCAAAATACCTGCTAAGAAGCCACTGGAGCAGATCATTTTTCCCATCCTTATGCTCTGACTATTTCTAGCAATAGAGTTTCCATTAATTTTCTTAGAAGAGGCCTCTCAGCCTTTTGGAACCCCTTCCCCTTTTGCCTCCCTATACAGCTAGTTGTATGTCCAACTATGATGAAGGAGAAATATTAGGGCCGCACTATAGAGTTACAGAGTAAGACTAAAAGCCTTTATGTTTTCATGGCACCTATTTTAGAAGATCAGTCAGTGTCCTGGGTTCTTAAATTAAATTTAGCTGGCTAGCCTAGATAGTTCCTCAGTTTTATTCCACCTCTTTGCCATAGTTAATAATGTTTGGTGATCTCTTGTGGTGTTAGCAGCTGTTGATGCTCGATGCCTATATCCATTAACTCATTAAGGGTTGCAAAATGGAGATATTCTATCATTTTCTCATCTGTTAGCTGAAATACTTATATAAAGAAAAACTTTATTCTTGCATCTGATAATGTGACCAATTTTTTAAGTATTATAATAAATTCATTAATTAAACAAATTTGATGTTTTATAGTGCTAACTAAAGTGGAGGACATTATTAAAACCACTATTAGAGCTTCCCATAAAATATCCTTTCTTCCACAGTGCATGGTTTACTGATCTGATCCAGTAGAGCACTACTATTCATGTTCTAATTTTTACTTATATTACTGGCTGATAGTGATAATATATGGAAAAACATTTGCCTCAATGTTAAAATATAAATGTGACAGATACTGTTTTCTCTGCGCACTGACTTCAGGATTTCTTCTCTCCGCAGATGGAACTTTCTGCTCTACAGTCCCTGATGGCTGTGCAAGAGGAAGAGCTGCAGGTGCAGGCTGCTGATATGGAGTCCCTGACCCGGAACATGCAGATTAAAGAAGACCTCATAAAGGTATTTCAGAGCTTTTTAAAGACCATTGAAAATAATTACAGCTCAGAATACCTGGAGGGAATCTTCGAACATTTGGATACGTTGAGTCCCTTGGCCCATCCTTATTTGCTTGATGCAGTTACAGTGTCTCGATATTACCGTATTCTCTTTGACTTGTATCAGAGTTGCTAAGATTTCATAAAGAATATATCATTACCTTCACGTGGCTTATCAATATCCCACTTGAAAGTATAGCAGACTACTTTAGGAACATTTGCTCCTTTGCTAAATAGCATTTTTATTACTATTCTTGTTTTTTGACGTCTAGGACCTTCAGATGCAACTGGTTGATCCTGAAGACATACCAGCTATGGAACGCCTGACCCAAGAAGTCTTACTTCTTCGGGAAAAAGTTGCTTCAGTAGAATCACAGGGTCAAGAAGCTTCAGGAAACCGAAGACAACAAGTAAGTTATTGGAATACAAGCCTTATTTTTACTGTGAAAAAATAAACAATGAAAAAGCTGTCAATCTCAATTACTTATAAAGGGGTCACTTGATGGAATTTCATAAGGAATCTGTGCTCTAAGGTTTCCTGGCTTGGTCACTGGCAGCCTCAGATGCTCCTTTCTTGCATATGCATTTCTGAAAGGAGCAGCAGTGTTTTTTTGGACACACCTTGTCCGTTATCCCTCACTATCATACATAAGTCACCTGCCTCTCAGCTGAATCCTTCTCATTTGCCTGTGTTTAACCATGTTCAAACCTCTCCCAATTTAAAATAAATAAAGAAAAAAACCTCTGCCTCTGCCCCAAATTCCTTTGTAGCTCCTATAACCTTTCTTTAGTGCCAAACTTTTCCAGACCTACTTGCCTCTACTCCCGGTCTCCATTATCATCTCTCCTACCAACTACTCATCTCTCTCTAGTCTGGCTTTTTACTCTACCAGTTCCCTTAACCAGATCTCTGCTGGTTATACTACACTATCATAGCCCATCTTCTTTGTAGCACCTATCAGAGCTCACAGTGACTCATGTCTGAGATTGATGACTGTCTTTTCCCCTGACTAGATAGTAAGCTTGTCCCTAGAACAGAGATTGGCACATAGAAGGTGCTCAGTAAATACTGACTGAATGAATGAAGCACACTATTAAGTCCTGGTGTATGTTTCCCTCCTGCCCTGCCTCTCTTTCTCCTCCATGCCTTTCTCTTAGCCTCTTTCCTGTGCTTCTGGCTTCTTTCTCCTTTTTCTTCTTCTTGCTTCCGTGTTTGAATTCTACCGTATAGAGTTCTAAAGATTAAAAAAAGATAATAAATGTGACGTTGATTTGAAAACTAAAATACTATAGAAAGCTTAAGTAATAAGATAGTGAGCTTTTTTAGTCATAGTACATGCTGATGCATTCTTATGCTCTCTTTCTCAGGATTAACTGGCTTCGTGTCTTGTGTCTCCATTTGCATATTGCTTCTCTTCTTTCCTCAGTTGCTGCTGATGCTAGAAGGACTGGTAGATGAACGGAGTCGGCTCAATGAGGCATTACAAGCAGAGAGACAACTCTATAACAGTCTGGTGAAGTTCCATGCCCATCCAGAGAGGTAAGAGAGAGACTGCACTGTTTTTCTTTTCATTCCCCATTAAATACAGGTGCTTACGGTATTGAAAAGGGGAGAAAAAGAAAGCAGAGACAATTACTGCGACTATCCGGTTTGTCATTTGTTGTGTAGATTGCTCTGAGCCTGTGTCGAACTCTTAAGTCAGGAATAGTACCTATTTCATACAGCTGTTACAAAGATCAAATGAGAAGACATGTCAGGTGTTTAAAATAATGCCTTGCGTATAGTAAGCACTCAGTGTATGTTCCTTTCCTTTCCCTGCTCCATGTCCTTAAGGCTATTTCTCTTATAAGAGTAAGGCTATGAAGGGCACAGATATTCATTAAATATCATTGAAGAAAATATATTGCTTGTGATGGCTAATATCACCCCAGGAACACTGATCGCCATCACGATGAATATATTTTCTTGTACTTCTTGATTTTTGGTCATGTATATTATATCTTTCTGTTTCATTTTATATTCCCTTTATTTTTTTGTATTTTGCCTTCCCTCCTAGGCCCTCTCTTTCCTAATTTTTATTCTTTTACTATTCAGTTTCTTCTAGTTTATTATTGAGTTTATAATTTTTTTCTTTCTACTTCAAGAAAATGAAGGCAGAAGAAAGGTAAAATAGGACTACTTTGTTGTGTTACTTTTTAAAAATCTCTGGATCTTTAGTCTCTATGAACCAGATTCCTTTTCAGAGCACTGTCAAGTTTGGTTAAGGAATGAGAGAACAGATATCTTTAATAGCAGTCCTACTTGGCTCAATGTTGCTTCAGTTTGCATTTAGTTTTTTCTGGGTTTTGGTTTTTCAGAAACTAACGCTTTTGGTCAAGCAATGAAATTTCTCTTATGTGGGCCATAGGAGTGTGAGATAAATCTTAGGAACTATAATTTTATGTGAGATTGGCCAGGAATCTAGCATAAAGGGACAAGCTTTAAAAAAAGGAGCAGGCCTTGCTAATCTACCAGCATTGAACACAAGTGCCACAACAAAGACTGCATTCATTTATTTTGTCCGGAGAACAATTACTTTAGAAAGTCTGTGGCCCAGAGTGGCATTGATGGCTCTTTGGAAGCATGTGTGGACTCATTACAGTTGATGGCTAATCCATTTTCCTTTCGTGTGGCATGTTTAATCAGCTCTGAGAGAGACCGAACCCTGCAGGTGGAACTGGAAGGGGTCCAGGTGTTACGCGGTCGGCTAGAAGAAGTTCTTGGAAGAAGCCTGGAGCGCTTAAGCAGGCTGGAGACCCTGGCTGCCATTGGAGGTGGGGAACTGGAAAGTGTGCGAGTTCATCACAAGCATGCCTTCTGAGCACTGGCGGGTCAGACTGCAGCCCAGGATGGAAAACCTTGTTTGCACTAACCAGAAAGAGCCTTGTCTGACTTTGGCAGAATTGAATGGTGACTTACTAAAGATAGAACTGGTACAAGTAGCGTCAACTACAAAGTGAAACTCAAGTTAGTCTACCTGTATTTCACTGTATATATCTATCTCTAAGTTGAGTGGTGGAGGTTGCAAAGTGTATTTGCTCATTTTAAATCATTCCATTTTAGTTTTCCCACCCATATTCATTCTTTTGCCTAGCCCCTCCTTCTTATTCACTTATCCCCTCTATGGGCCAATAAAGTTTATTCCTCCCCCACTTTCACAATCCATTTCATATATTCCATATCTTGTCATAAATGCATGCGTGTGTATTATTTTTGCCATTCAATCAACTCCTGCTCTTTGAGTAAGAGCAATTTTTTAATTAAAGTTTCAAGATGAGAGAGAGAGATTGAAAGTCTATAAGAATGACTTTGCAAAAGTGGTATAATCCCTATCAGAACGTAATCAAAACAAAGTCTTGCAATAGTAGACTGTGAGTATTGGGAGGGCCAAGTTAAAGGTGGAGACAAAGACTGTTAAAGTGTTTATAGTCAACCTTTACCTCTAATATTGTTTCAGAGTTGATTATTGAATGACAATGAAATTAGATTAGGTGCAGATTAAATTCCATTAAAAATTTTTTCTTTAAACCAAAGGTGTGCTATTTAGTAGAAACATGACTTTAAGAAAGCTCCCAGGTCTTCCAGAGTCAGAATTCTCTATGTGAAAAGATAATTTCAAATTTAATGTCCCCCTTTAAATTCAGTGTTTCACCAAATAACTCATTATAGCCAGAGGAGAATATTGCTTATATATTTCCATTTGGTGGTGGCACTAGATGGAGTCTTGTATTTTTCACTTTTTAGTGCTTATACGTTTCTCCATATTAAAATAAGTAATAAGCTTCAGCTTTGAGGTGTTTGAATAGTTTGTAAAGAAATGTCACAGATCTGTGTTCATAGGTTTTGGCCATTGTCTCAGTGCTTTCTTATGGCAACATGACAGGTGTAAGGAAAGGGGCACTGGGTATTGTATTTCTGGCTTTAAATGTCAAGAGTATAAAAAGTAACCGAGATTGCTTTGGAGCTTTGTGGATTCAACACTGTTAGGTTTCTTATTTCTGCTGGATATAAGATTAGAAGCTGAGATTTCAGTTTTTAAATATGGAATTTGGTGAACAAGGATTGAGGTTTTCTAGCACCATACATGTAATGGAGTATCCTTTTTAAACTAGGCAGAGCACAATGATTTTTCTGTTTTCCCTCCATTTTTTACATGACACTTATTTCTTTCACATTCATGTGTTGACATGGCTTGCCTTACATTCTAAATTCCATCCAAGTTTCTGTAACCTTAGCCATGCCTGTAACAGAGCCTCAGTCAAACTGAAGAAGAAAATGTTCTACTGGAGAAACACCCTGGAAATTTCTGATTAAGTATTTTGCAGAAGATTGATAGCCATGAGCCTTCCTCTTAATGGAAATGCTTTCCCATTTTAATGGCCTTTGGAGGGGGGGAAAGGAGTCATTTAAGGAAGGAGATAAGAAGTGTAAGCAGAACCATCCTCTTTTCTTAGTCTCCCAGTCTTTAGAGACCCTTTCCTGCACAAAGCTTTTTGTAACTTTCTAGAAGTAAGGTCGGGGTGGGGTGTAATCCAGCTATAGAAATGTCAACCCACCAAAGACTAGTCTGTCATGTCATTACAAGGCGTTTAGGAAATGTCTTTCCTTAATTTTACTAATAGACCAAGGAAGCTTTCTCTAAGTCGCCTGTTAAGATTTCAACCATGGGTAATTCTTGGGTTCTGGTGGTTCTCAGTGATTGCAGTAATTTATGTTTATTACCACTCCTGCTTCTAACAACTTCCAACAACAGTCGGAATTTCCCTTGGTATCTGGAACTGTTACTAAGTTAGAAATATTAAGGTAGTTGGATGAATAATGAGAAACTCAACTTCCTATTGAAAAATTATCAAAAGAGATTAGGGAAAAAAGTAAGTGAATTCTGGTCCTGATTTGGATCCTGAAAAGACAGACTAACTTGTGCTATAATTACTTGCCTTTGATATTGGTCCCTGGGAAATATTTTAGAAAATTAAGTGATTTAGTGGCAAAGGATAAATTGAGAGTTTGATTTTGATACCATAGGTGTGACTACAGTCTGGTACTAACTTTCTGGTCTTGATAGCTGGAATGAGGCTTGCAAACAGTGCTCCCTGGAGAGAGCTTTCTGGTCTAACAGTTTTGTGTGATAATTTGGCATCTTATTAGAGAACACAGTTCTGATGAATTTTGTTCTATAATCCAGAGATAGAAGATGCTGTGATTGGCCACATCATTCATGTAATCATATTTAGCATGATATAATATGATTCCATTTTCTCTTCAGGAGCACAGACCCTTTCTCTTACTGGATTATTCTAGCTTTGTCAGTCATTTTTTAACAATACAGTAATTTTAGGTAAAGCATCATGTGCTTATAGAACTTTGTGCTTGAATAAAAAATCTTGAAAGAACATGAATGAATTAAATTCTCATTCAGGCTATGCTAAATTGGAAGCATAAACTTAAATTGAGAAAACCCATATTGATAGATTTGATTTTTCTCACGTTTCCTTTTTGAATAATAGCAGATGTGCAAAGTAATGGTTATAAGAGGTGAGGGTAGATGAAGTCTATAGTTATTAGACCTCTGGAGTTGAAAAGGACCTCCAAGAGGATTTATTTAGTGACTGAAATTGAAGTCTTTTTGACAGATGTTTCCACTAAACTCTTTTCTGTTGCAGGTTTAAACTGTATTGTTGAAGTCTGATGATTTTTAGTGCCTAGTATAAATCAGCATTTTTCTGGTGTTCTCTTTTTAGATTTAGCCAAGTTATAACTTTTTTGAAATGGCATGATTGGGCTGTTTTAATATTGTCAACCTTTTACTTTGATAGGGTGTACTTTTATCCTTACCCCTCTCCACACCCACTTCTCATTCAGTTGTGGACAGCAGCAATATTTTTGGTACCTATACTTCCTTATTCATATTTTTAAAAGATTTGTCAATGTCATTGTATATACAGTCATGCATCACTTAATGAGGGGATATATCCTGAGAAATGCGTTGTTAGGTAATTTCATCGTTGTGCAAACATCATAGAGTGTACTTACACAATCCTAGGTAGTATAGCCTACTACACACCTAGGCTATATATATGGTACTAATCTTATGGGACCACTGTCTCATATGTGGCCCATCATTGAGCAAAATGTCATAATGTGGCGCATGACTGTAGTAAGAGATCTATTAAAGATCAGGAAAATCTTGACCTGTATAGAATATTAGATTCTAGCCACAGGAAGCTTCCTTAGAAGGTTCTTCAGTATATTCTGCTTGCACAGTTTATACATAAGTGATATCTGTGGCAGATATACATAAGAGCCTTATCACTATTATGCTTATTTATGCTCCTAATTCAGTATCTGGTTCTGAGAAGTTTGGCTCATAGCTTCAAAACAGTTCAAGAAAACTGATTTCAGTTCTCTCTACTTCAGTCTTCCAGTTGGATCTAGAGTTCTCTGATTAGGGAAAGGAGGAGCAGATCAGATTACACCAAAAATGTCTCCTTTCTTTGAGGAACAAAGGTTGACTGACCTACCTAAAGTCTCTTCCCTTCAGACTGTAAGCCTTAGAGGGAACAATGTTACTACCTTTGTTTTCCTTGAGCTACTATTAGAAAATTCTAGTTCCTGTTATTAGGATAAAGTCATTTTTTTCTGGTTTCATGGTCTTTTTATATCAAAAAGTCACAGAATCTTCACATTTGCCATCCCTGAAAAACTCAAGTTGCCTCTTCAACTAGGGCCTCAGTGGTAATTCTTCAAGTCTGCAGTCAGTGTCCTGCAAGGAAATGTGACAAACTTCCTATGAAGTTAGGAAGAAATATTAGTAACCCACACACTTAAAGTCCATTTTCCATCTTGCCTTGTAGAAATTGTACTAGTGGTAGAATAAATTAAATTAGCTTTCTTCTTCAGATACTAACTCCTGTGAGATGCAAGCATGTAGAGTATTTTCTCTCATTTCTCTTAGTGTTAAAGCTCAGAGATCTTTTCTTCTCCCTTTGGTAGTATAGAACCATTTGTACTGTAGAAAGAATAGCTAGGGATATGGAGCTCATATAAGGCAACCAATAATAAAAAACAGGAATGAGTCAATGGGACAATACATCAGAGTGATTTCTGTGGGGTAATAGCTTCTGAGTCTTAACGCATTTTGGAATATATATTTAAGCCACCCTCTCACTAGACTTTTGGAGCAGTAACTTTGTTAAACCATTTTATTATGATTACAAGACAAGCATGTTGCTTTCAAGTAGTCTGACTATTGACAGAAGGTAAGTTCTCAACTTCTTTCCGTATAATCACATGAGCCAGGATGAGTTTCCCAAATAAAAAATTAGTGTTGTAATTTGCTTCCAACAAAGAATGGGAAGTGGAAGGGAAACACAAAACTGTGGAGCTGACAATACTAATTTTACCAGATTTCAAATAAGGGTGATTAAACTTATAAAGTGATGTACTAATTGTTTTTGTGTTACTTTCCCTTTTTGTTGTTTAAAATCAAATTCCAGAAATAAAAATCTTTATCATACGGTTTTCCTCTTGCTAACGCTGAAAGGATTGAATAGAAAGTTCAGCAACATCAGAAAATGTTTGATCTAAAATAATATGAAGAGTAGGGGTGTTAAGTACCTGAACCAAATCAGCTTCTTATTCCCTTTAAGAACTCATAATTGTCTAGCAAATGTATGTAGGTTTGCTTTTAGTATATAATATGAGTATGCAGTGCTTCCTTTTGCAATCAAAATCATTGCTCTAAAATACTGACCTCTCTTTCAATCTGTAAACT